CCGCCAGCCGCAGCAGCGGCAGCAGCGGCAGCAGCAACACCAACAGCAGCGAGCCCGGCAGCGAGACTCTACAACAAGTTGCTAGCTACTGCTGCTGTTGCTGCTGTTGCTGCTGCGTTGCTGCAGCAGCAGCAGCAGCGACGCTTGGGGCCTCGAGGCCTTCACTAAGACGGCAACAGCAGCACCAGAACTGCGGCGTTGTTGCTGCTGCTGTTGCTGCAGCAGCAGCAGCAACAACAACAACAACTTATCCAACACAGCTAGGGGCTCCTTTGGCTTGTTTGCAGCAGCAGCAGCAACAACAACAACAGCAGCAGCAGCAGCAGCAAAATGATCGGCTGTGACAACAGCAGCAGCGCCAGCCACAGCAGCGGGGAGGACGGCGACCGCAGCAACAACAGCAGCAGCAGCAACAACAGCAACAGCAGAAACAGCAACAGCAGCACGAGCTCCTTAGGATTTGTAGAAAGAAATAACAACAGCAACAGCAGCAGCAACAGCAGCAGCAGCAACAACAGCAGCAGCAGCAACAACAGCAGCAGCAGCAACAACAGCAGCAGCAGCAGCCCTCTCTCAGACGCAACAGCAGCGGGGCCAACTGCCGCACTTCGCAGCAGCAACAGCAGCAAAGAGAGCAACAGCAGTAACAGAAGCAGCATCAGCAGCACGGATGCAGCAATTGCAGAAACCTCAGCAGCAACAGCAGCAGCGGCAGCAGCGCAGGGATTAAAGACTGAAGCAGAAGCTGCTGACGCACAACCTGATCCAGCAGAGACGAAAGAGACAGCAGCAGCAGCAGCAGCAGCAGCAGCAGCGCATCCAGCAGCTTTCTCTCGCCTCATTTCCAATGCATCAGCACCAGCAGCAGCAGCAGTTGAAGCAGCAGCAGCTTCAACACTAGGAGCAGCAGCAGCACCAGCAGCAGGTGCAGCCGCGGCAAAAGCAGCAGCAGCAACAGAAGCTACAGCAGCAGAGAGAAGTGTAAAGACAGAAGCAGCAAAAGATACAACTGCAGCAGCAGCAGCAGCAGCAGCGGTTGCTGCTGCAGTAGCTGCAACAGCAGCAGCAGGAGACGTTCCAACAGCCACAGAAGTTAAAATGCATGCAGCAGCAAAAGCAGCAGAAGCGGCAGAAGCAGCAGCAGAAGCAGTAACAGACGCAAGCGCAGCAGCAGATCGCTCTGCTGCTGTCGTTGCGTCATCAGCAGCAGCAGCATCTGCTGCTGCTGCTTCTGAGATGCAGACAATGGTCGGCTCTGTTGCTGCAGCAGAAAGAGGCGCTG